TTTATTTATCTTATTATCTTACTTTTTTATTTTTTATCATATATATTTTTTAACTTTTTATCTTATTATTTTTTACTTTATCACCTTTTTATTTTAATTTTAATTATTGTTTTACTTATCTTTATATCATGTTTATTTCTTTTATAATTTTTTTATCAATTTTTATTTTGATTTCATTTTTTACTATTTTTTTTAACTTAACTTTATTGCTATCACACAGGAGCTAACAAGTTCTCTTTATTGAACCTGTCACCTCTAATACAGGAGTTCTAGTACAGTACCGTGCTGGCTCTTCTGTGACAGCTGAGAGGGAAAGGCAGCTCTCCCCTTTAACTGTCACTGTTTACAAGGAGCAGAGCGGACATTTTACCTGCTGTTAAATAATGTTCATGAAATGTCCACATAATAACTGCAATCAGTCGATTTTTAAAACCAGGACCACTCATGGATTAAAGTTTGGCTAATTCAGCAGGTCAGCTTTAGTCAGTCATTTTTTTGGCGCCAAAAAAATTCAGAGAAATGTTATCAGATTCATGAAATCTATGAACAAATGAAGTTTCACTGGAATGCACGCAGTTTAGTCATATCTTAAGCTTATTTTTTCTCAAGAGCTTGCATATGCCATCAATCCACTAATGACCCATATTTTACTCATAGATAAATGAACACATTAAACATGTCCTGAATTAACTGAATGCAAAAAAGCATTTGACTCCAAATAAGACTCTTTTGTAATTGCACGGGCTTGTTAACACTTTTTCAAGTTAATATGTGACATCTCCCAGTTTGTACATGGAAATTCCGGCTACAAAATGTGTTGATCTCTTCCTCCAATCCATTTTATTACTGCATACAATCAATCAGTCACTTGTATATAGCAGCTGAGTCTCAAAAAGTGCAACCACAGAAGAACCATTGAGAGAAGATCGTCTGCTTATCAATCAGTCAAATGACACGAGAGGAGGGGAGATTCTGCAGTGCGTCATCTGTGGAAGATTCGATAAAAGTCATGCAGCAGTGGACGCACATTTCCGGAGGTGTGTCTGAGTTATTTTAAGCTTATGACGATGTTCTTCTCTATTTTCATCACACCATTTTTTTTCACTGCCCCTGTCCTACTGTATATGCACCCTTTTCCCAATAACTCTATGCCTATAATTAATTATGTATTCCTCTGCAATTCCATATAGCACCTTCTGACGTCCATCATGGATGCTCTGACGAACTAAGGTCCAGCTTTATAAGAAATGTCTTTTAATATAACCAAGACCCTCATTGAAGAGTTCCAGGTATAAGTAGCATGTCCAGTAAGCTAAAACATGAATAGTAATCTTTATCTAAGTACTTTCTACTGTTGACCAGAAGGTGAATTAAGGACTTTGGAGACAGTCAAAAAGATATCCAAGACTAAGAATCATTGTGCTGGAGGTACAGCTGTATGTCAAAGCTCCACAGGTAAGAATGCAGACCTGGACAATTCTTTAATAGTGGAAGCGACAAGGTTCATGCCGAGCTTTTGGTATTTATGCAACATTGTTGCAGTAATGTG